CACTAGAGATTAAAAAAAAAAAAAAAACTTGTACCTGTTAAGCAAGTGCTCTACAACTAAACTAAATCACCAATACTATTTTCAATAACTTCTCATCTATAACCACTATACTCATCAGTTCCCCAATTACACTGGCCAGATTTCTTATTGCTATCAGCTACTATAGTAGGCAATGGAGATACATGGTATTTGCATCACAGAAACGTCTACTGGATGGCAATGGTCTACAGGTGGGAAGGACAACTGATAATAATGACTATTTATAGCCCAACATTAGATGGTCCTTCATACAGATATGAAGCAGATACTCTAATATATTCAATCTCTCTAGAAACTCAAAAATAATTTCTATATTAGACTAATACATCTAATATTACAAAGCTACTGAATAGAATTTATGCAATATCTACAATTAAAAGGTGAAATATCTACAGTAACCTAACGGTAATTATTTGATTAACATCAGGTGTCTTCTCTACTGTGGATAACTTCTTAAACTGATTTCAGTTCTGTTAGAATTAGTAGAGCAATTACACAAACACCAATTAGAAAATAAACTTCAATTCCTACCTGCTCATTAAGCCATTGAGTTTTGTACTGCTATAGGGAACAAAAACAAAAGTGACTTTTAACCAGCTCCCATCCACATTTGACCTTACTGACTACACTCCCCTTGAGACTTCTCTGTGGCTTCTGTAACAACACACTCAACTCCTGCTTCTCTGACCTTCAGTGCTCTTTGGAAGCTCACATTCTTCCAGTAAATTTGTTAAGGCCACTGTGTTTCCATTCTAGGGCATCTCTCTTTTCTTCCTAGTTATTCCCACCCCTAGACAATTTCATGCATATCTATTGTTTCAATTATCTATTCAAGGTTTTTCATCTCCCCAGACTACTGCTAAAAGCCTCCAGATTCATCTTCCCATTTTCACTACTGCTGCCTCTCCTTCCATTCAAGACACATCATCAGAATGGCAGTCCTATCTACCCTTCTGAACTACCAAAAATACAGCAAATACAACCTCTAAAGGAACATTTTTTTAAAGACAAAAAGACAGTTACATCACTTTGCTTTTATTCAAGGGTTTCTATATTGAAAAGTGACAGAGTCAAGGCCACAAACTGTCACTTTTCTTTTTAAAAGGACTCCTGGGCTAGAGGGAAGGCATTTGTTGTTCAATAATGAGGACCAGAGTTCAGATCCCAGCACCTATGGCAAGTGGCTCACAAACACTTGTAACAACAGTTTTGGCCTAAGCAGACACCCACAAGAACAGACACTCAGATACACATACATGTGTGCACATATAATAAGTAATAACAAAAACATGGACTCTATCTGAACGTGGTTTATACACACAAATGTAAATAATTTACTAAACTTTAAAAACCATAATACTAGTTTTACTAGTTACAACAAAAATCATATGAATCCTCTAAATATCATTTACCTACTATAATGCTGCACACTGTTCAAATTTTTAGGAATAAAACAGTGACAAAATGACAAACTCTGGGCCAGTGAGATGATTCAGCAGATAAAGGCACTTGATGCTAAAGACTGGTGATTTGAGTTTGATCCCTAAGGTCCAAAATAAGAGAGAAGTCACTTTCTCAAGTTGTCCTCTGAACTTCATTCACGGGCTGTATTTGCAGCTGTGTATACACATGCAATATAAGTAAATATAATACAATAAGGATTAAGATAAACTCTGTTCTCATAGAAGCTGCATTAGACTAAAAAAAAACCCACAAAAGTCTTGTTAGTAAATTAACAATTGTATGTGAGAAAGTGATAAAATGCCACGGGGAAAACTGACATAAACTATATTGGGAAACATGGGGAGAAGGGAGGGGATGCTGATTCATATGGAAGAGTTAGAGAATACCTCAGCAGCATTGGAGAAATGGGTTTGGAGAAAATGTAACGAGATGAAGTCAGACAAGAGACTCGAGAAACTTAAGAGTTACGAGAAGGCCACGGTGAGAACTACAGATTCTACTAGGACGAAGAAAAAAGCCTTTTGAGAAGGTAAGTAACACAATCTAATAATACAAATGGCTCATTCTGGCTGCTCAATGTTAAAGACTGTGGGCTCTCAAAGATAAGCAAGCTGTGTTATTGTTTTAGGAAGTTATTTTCCAAGCAAGAGATGTTGGTATTTCTAAAAAATTCTCACTGAAATTTTATTGTGCCATAATGTAAAAAGAAAAAAAAAAAAGAAAAGAAGCAGGGCAGTGGTGGCAGAGGCCAACCTGGTCTACAAGAGCTAGTTCCAGGACAGGGTTCAAAGTTACAGAGAAACCCTGTCTCGAAAAAAAAACAAAGAAAAGAAAGACACAATTCAAATGAAATTCTTAGGAATAAAATTCAAGTGATACCGGATCTATTTTTTCCAGCGTACTTATTACTATTGTGCTGGGGCGGAGGGGACCACAGCACACACACTGACAACAGAGAACAGCTTCCATACTGACTGTTTTAACTCTCAGCTCTAGGGTTTCCTACAAACAGTCACCACTGCTCAGACACAAAGTAAAAAATTGGAGGTAGGCAGTGGTGGTGCATGCTTTAATCCCAACACTCGGGAAGCAGAGGCAGGTGGATCTCTGTTGAACTAGAGGTCAGGCTGGTCTCCAAAGTGAGTTCCAGGACAAGCACCATAAATACACACAGAAACCTTGTCTTGGGGGGAGAGGGTAGATTTTGGTTTGGCGACCAAAAAGATGGCTAAGCAGTTAACAATACTTGCTGCTCTTCTAGAGAACCAGAATTCAGTTCCCAATACCCACATCTGGTGGTTCACAACTGGAGATCCTACACCTTCTTCTGGCCTCCATGGATATAGAAAAATAAAGAATTAAAAAAAAAAAAAAAGATCTAGGCTTTAAAACTAGTACAACTGTAATCCCAGCACTTGGGAGGCAGAGGCAGGAAGACCACAAGTTCAAGGCCATGAACTTTACCTGATTTTCAGCAAAGTAAGGCAGAAGCAATTTACATCACTGAAAGACAGGAGCAGAAGTTCGGGTGGACAGTGTACAAGACTTTTTAACTAGCTTTATTACCTGAACACACACCCCCTAAGTGTGGTTTTACAGCTCTCTTGCACTGAAGCACCTACAACGCACAGTGCTCCAGGCTGATGCGTGGTTTCCACTATACTTCATTACTAAAGGTGTGGGACGCAGCAGCAGCAGCAGCAGCACAATAGGTGAACCTTATCCCTATCTGGCTAATAGGACGAGTTTTCATGAAAACTGCCTGGAAGCCAACCAGTGCTCCAAGTATGATGAGAAAACTGAGTACCCCTGATAGGAGGCCTATAACCACATGAAGGAATTCCAGGAAGAAAATTCTTCTTAAAGTTTCTCTATAACACGTTTTTAAGGAACATAATTTTACATTTTCTTCTTTTGCATTTTTCTCCTCTGTTATATTGAAGAATGTCTTTTCAGACTGAGTATATTTACAGAAGAGCAGCGTTCAAGTTTTACCCAACTGAAAACTTAAAATGTACTTCAATTTGAAAGGCAAAGTCCACTATAGTGAAAGTGAATGACTGTTTACTTATTTACAAACACCGACAAACAAAAACACTAATGCTAAAGTGAAGCTACAGGAAGAACCGTTGATCTTTGAAAACATGACTGCATAAACAAAAGGCAGATGAGTTCATATTATCTTTGATAGTCTAGTATACCACGAATCCAAAGATACTTTCAAAATTTCGTTTCCCCAGTCTGATAAGGTTAAATTAACAATAACTTTTTCCTTCAGGTTTTAATAGCAAAACAGTGAAATGGTCAGGCCAAGTACCAAAGCAGGATAGAAACGACTTGGTCTGCAGAGGCAGGATTACAGTTAGAATTTTACTGCCAGTATACTACAAAGACCAAGAACCTACTACCTTCAGTGTTTTGCTGCTGTGGCAAACAGCCATGCACGAGTTATCGTTTCCTTGAAAACGAGAAAAATACACGTACTAATTGCCTTTCCCAAAATTCAGAGAAAACTGCCCAAACTGGAGGAGCTTCTATTCGTCAAGGCATACTAAAAACTTCATCAGTTTTGCCTACATGCCTTAGGTCATACTAGCCTAAGGACGGTGGCCAATGTAATCCAAAATGAATGAAAAAAGCTGTGATCAGACATCCTAAGAACGGCATTTTACACAGTACAACTAATGTGTAAAACTTACATTATGCATTGTTTACTACATCACACACGAAGACGGCTAACTATATACTAATGTAAATACGGCATTGTATATATTGACACATGGACATCTTAACTCGCCATTTCAATCTGGGAATGTTTTCATCAATCACAACCAGGTGTCTTTTCAATTAAATTTTCAGAATAACGTGCAGACGACCTGGCACAAAATCCCTAAGTCTAAAGTGGGGTGAGCGATTACTTTAGTTTTGATCTCTCGGCCGGGGAGTCCATCGGCAGCCCGGGCAGCGGGTTTAAAAACGAGGCGGGGTGGAGGTGGGGGAGGTGGGAGGCGGCAGCTGAGGGCATCTGAGGGAAAGGCCGAGTGAGCCGAGGCGCCGGCTCTTCCTCAGTCAGGCGCTGGGGAGGTCACAGCGCAGTGAAGTTTGGTTTCACTAGCGGGCTGGGAGGCTCGGCGATCGACGCGCACTCCGGGGTAAAGCGGCCAGCCTGGGAGCGCCCGGAAGCCCGGCCGACACGTTTCCACTGGGGGTGGGGGAGCGGCTGCGGCCCTGGCCTGGAGCCCCTTCCTGGCTCCGCCGAGGCCCGGCAGCCCGCGCCTAGGCCCCGCGCACGCACGGGACCTCCACCCCGCGCGGCCGCCGGCGCTGCCCGGGGCCGCGGCTCCAACTTTGCTCGCAGCGCCAGGCGCCGCCCGAGCCGCGCGCGAACCCCAAACTTTGCCCGCCCTCCCGCCGCCCGGCCCGCGCCCCAGCCCGCCCGCCGGCCGCGCTGCGCCCCAGCCCTGTCCGTCTTCTCCCCGGGCCGGCCCCGTGTTTACCTCAGGCCGAGGTCCAGGCGTCGCTCCGGCGGCCGCGCCAGCGCAGGAGGCCAGCTCTCCCGTCACTCAGTCCGCCGCTAAGTTCCGCACCATGGACTCGTCCGAGCCCGCGGGTTCAGCCGGCCCGGTCGGGAGCAGGCAGCCACGAAGCCGTGGACCCGGACAGCGCCGCTCCGCGCCGCTTGCGCCACCGCCGCTCCCCTCCCCCGCCGTGTCGGGCGGCCTCCCTCCCCCTCTCCCTCCCTCTTTCGTCCCTCCCTCCCTCCCTCCCTCCGCGGGGCTCAGCCGCGCCGCCACAGGTCGGCGCGCGGTGGTGACGACGCGGGCGGACCTGCCGCACGCTGGCTGCTCGCGGGCGCCGCAGTGCTCGACCGGACCTCCAGGGGGCGCCCGGAACCTCAAGGCGACGGACCGACGTGGTGGGCGGGGCACGCCGCGCGGCCCGAGAGCGGGAGCTCCGGCAGCGGCGAGTGGCCGAGGTTTCTGGGAAACCTTCCTCTCGCCCCGCCCCCGCTGCCGCCCGGAGCGCTGCGCGCCTGCGCAGCCCGCCCGCGTTCCCGGCCGCTCTTCGTGGTGGGCTTCCCGGCCAGGTCCGCGGGGACAATAAAGATGTCTCTGAGAGCCCGCGGTCCTGGCTGCAGTAGCAGAGCTTGGGAAGAGTTCATGCGTTGTTGGCGCGGAGGCCGTATGCAGCCAGCTGTGGGGCGCACCTGCTGCGCACGTGCGCGGCGGCCCGCCAGTCCCGGGCATCCTCCCGCGTCCCGAGCTAGCGTCACCGTGGCTAGACGAGCACGGCTGGCTTTAAGCGCCTCCGCTCTAGGGTGGTGGCTTCCAGTCACTCTGCGACGTCCTGCCCTGGAGCATCCTCGTATCTTTTGTTTCACCCCGGAGGTGTTTTTTTTACAGGCTTCTCGTCGGTCGCTGGCTCTTTCGTCCCCTTCCCCACGATCTTGCCTTTTCTCGTTGTACTCTTGCTGTCCACGCGCGCTGCTGTCGCCGGGTCACCTCGACTCGGGCTGTTCCCTCCCCTCTTCGAGCCCGCGTTCTCCCAGACTGCTGCTTGCCACGTCCCCAGCTCTCTGATGGGGCGCTTCCCTAGCACCTTCATCGTGTGCTGCTTGCCTGCTCAGAGCCCGTCACGTCACACTGAAGAGTGGGATGGTGTCTCACCAAGCTCTTCACAGAGCCGAGCACCTACAAGGCACTGGGTAAAATGCTGCTGCAGGGATGCTTGAATGGCAGCCTTGTCTCTCCCAAAGTCTGCAGCTTTGCCGTGCGTTATCTTTATAGGAGGTTTGGGGATTTGATGGTGCTGCTGTATGGCGGTTTTTGAGGGAGCAATGGTCTAGGGGTGCAAAAATACTTTATTCTGATGAAACAAAACCCCTCTGAAGGACCTTTCCCCGGTAGTAGAGACAGTTAAGGCTGGTGATTAGGAGACTCTGAAAACCTGTTGAAAAGGTTACGTGACAGAATCAAATAAAAGGTCCTGTTAACCATCCAACGGCTGAAGTTTAGCCTTCCTGTGTGCAGCCAAGCTCCGGAAGCCACCCTAGAGATTCTTAGCAGTAGAGTAGCTCCTGGTGAAGATGTACAGCGCAATATCCTTTTGTATGTATTTTATATTTATGAGTTTTCTGAGGCAGAATCTCACTATCCAACCCAATCTACCCTCAAAACCCTGCTCTCCTGCTTCAACGTTATTGTTTGTGCATATGTCAAGAGAACATTTAACATTTATAGCCATCGTGTTGTGTAACAGCATCAAAAATGATTCCTCCTCCCTCACTAAAGTTGTCCTTTGACGACCTTCTCCCCATCTACGAGCGCATCTTAACAGTGTGCGCTCTAATAGGCTATCTCTTGCTCCCCAAAAGAGAGACCATGTCTATTTCTATAGATAGTATTCTCTTTACTGTGTTTACATAATAAAAATGTGTTGTTTTCTTTGTTTTCAACTCTTTAAATTTATAATAAAGAGGGTCAGAGTTTTAAATAAAGGATGGACTATTAAATGGATGTAGTTTGGCCTACTTGTTAATATTTTAAATTTAATTATAACCATAAAAAAAACAAATGAGGGCTGAGGAGATAGCTAGTTAAGTAAAGCGCTTACCATACAAGAATGAGGATCTGAGCTTGAATCCCCAGGACCCATGTAAAGCTGGGCACCATGGCAGGTGTCTGTAATTCCAGTGCTCCCACAGTGAGGTGAGGAGAGCCCTCAGACACTTGCCTGTCAACTAGCCTATTCTCAATGACAACAGACCCTGCCTGCAGATCAAGAATCAGCACCCAGTGTTGTCCTCTGACCTCCACATGTGTTCTACGGGACACATACCTTCACTCATAAGGATTTGCACACACACATTTTAGTTTATTTGTATATGTATGGGTGTTGTACCAGTATGTAGATCTGTACCACATTCTTGCAGTGCCCATGCAGGCCAAGAGAAGGTGTCAGATACCCTGTGGCTGGATTTGTAGATGTTATGAGCCACCATGTAGGTGCTAGGACTCACACCCAGGGCCCCTGGAAGAGAAATGCTAATAATTGGCCTGAGCATCCGCCTTCCAAAAGAAATTTGCTAAAAACTACAAATGGTGCACATAAAAATATCTTCATCAAAATGCACAATTGTTCTGTTGCACTTTCCAGCCAACTTACTTTCCATAGCATAACAGACACCCATAGCAGCGTCTTTGATGATGAATGTGGTCAATATATCGATCTTGACAGTTTTATCAGAAATAATAGCTATACTTTGTCTTTTATTAATAGAATGCAAAATAAAATTCACATTAAGAGAAGAAATCATAGTATAAAGACCTTGGAATAAGTGAGAAAGGGGTCACTTCAAATGCCTTTGCAGTTTTGAACAAATAACATCATGTTTTTTCCTCTTCGGTTTTTAGATAACAGAGGAAGTTTTAAATTTAACGTCCATGGCATGTTTGCATCAGTAAAATTGACAAATTCAAAGGGCATACAATTAAGACTTGTGAACAGCACATGGTCAAATATGTAATGTCCATATAAGAAATGAAGCAAATGCTACAAGGAACAGTTGTAGGAATTTTCACAAAATAATACAACTTTACTAAAGCCGTTATTCCACTCAAGAAATATGAACCACCACATACATACAGTCTTTTACACTGATCAACATAGCCAGACACAGATGGAGTCAGGGTGTGTCCCATGAGCATTCTCCATTGTGGTCAATAAAGCAAGCCCTCCAGGGCACTGGCAAAGACACAGAAATGGCTATACCCTGTGTGATACTGTTGTGGAATATTCTTTATGTTAAGATGTGTTACATCTGTTTATGCTGTGGAACATTTGTTTCATGATGCAAAGATGTGTTGCTTCCTTTAAGCTGCATTTGTCTAACCCTGTGAGGCTGTGTTACGTTGCCTGCCTAAAACACCTGATGGTCTAATAAAGAGCTGAATGGCCAATAATGAGGCAGGAGAAAAGATAGGCGGGGCTGGCAGGCAGTGTGTACATAGAAGGAGAAATCTGGAAGGAAAGGAGCAAGAGAACAAGAAAAGGAATGTGGCTAATATTATCATAAGGTGTGTTGCTTTTGTTTATGCTGCATTTGTTTAACTCTGTGAAGCCGTGTTTCTTTGCCGTGATTCTTTGCCAGAAGGTCTAACAAAGAGCTGAATGGCTAATAGCAAGGCAGGAACAAGAATAGATGGAACTGGCAGGAGACACAGGAAGAAGAGAAGCAAGAGAATAAGGAGAGGAGGATGCTAGGGGTCAGCCATCCAGCTACACAGCAAGCCACACAGGAAGAAGTAAAGAAAGGTATACAGAAATAAGAAAGATAAAAGCCCAGAGGCAAAAGATAGTCAGGATAATTTAAGAAAAACTGGCCTTAAGGACTCGAAAGTTCTATCTTAGTGGATCCAACGGTGAGAAGAGAATTGGCGGCAGCAGGGCGATCTCTCAATGGCACATGACCCCAGAATCTCCAGAGAAAGGAACAACCAGCTAGACAATTGCAAATGCAACAGCTTAGCTTTTGCCACTTGAAGCTTGACAAGCTAGTAGCTGCTGTAAGACAACCTGTGTGGTATGTAATAATAGTATTCTTGAACAAATTATGGCTTTTGCCAATTTTTTTATTTACATTTGTTTAGAAGCTAGTCTATGAATATTGTCATTGGATATATGGAGACAGAAAAAAAGCTATTATGTGTACTGTCTGATAAAATATTACCCTGTCTTATTTTAAAAGTTCTTTGTGCTTTACTGTATAGTGCCAATAATGTTTAAAAAAATGTCTTACAGCTTCAATATTATGGCTGACTTTTAAAAAATGTGTTTGCAATAAACTGAAGAATTGTATTAAAAAAAAAAAGAAAAACTGGCAAGAAACAAGCTAAGGCTGGGTATTCATAACTAAGAATAAACATCTGTGTGTGTGATTTATTTAGGAGCTGGGTGGTGGGCCCCTCAAAAAGCCAAAAGAGTAAAACATCACACAACATGTATTAGTCCATGATGTAAAGATAAAGATTGTCAAACAGCGGGACAAAGACATCTTCAAAGGCAAGCAAAGCCAGTTTGCTATGTCAAGTTCTTGATTGCCCTGAGAATGTAACAACCAAAGCCCTACTGTTATTGACCAACTAGTGAACTATAGACAATGCATTGGCCATCAGAATGAAACCTTGGCTACAGAAGATACTTCTGACCTCAGAGGCAATGCCTTCCAGCACTGGTAGCTGATTTCTTTCTCATCTGAACAAATTTTAATCTTAGTTTCCACATTTCAGGAGATATATTCTCTAGCTAAGCAAGAGAGACTTGACTACACCCCAACAAAAGTCCCTTGGTCTCCCAGTCCCTGTGCAGGGTTTGCATAGTCACCTAGATACCCAGTTCATCATTGTAGTTCATGTCAAACACTGCCTCCCATCCCCATGTGTCCCCGGAACTGCGGGGTCCTTCCCATAACTCCATTCTCTTCAGGCCACACTCTTGTCCAAGGTTGCCTAACTTAGGCTTCTGCTCATTGGAGTTCATAGCTATTCAAGTGTGGGTCTAGATGCCATAAACAAGCTCTCCTGTGCTTACATCTCAGGGGTTTGTAGACAAGTCACCTGACGCTCTACAGAGAAGTCTACCTTCCTGTCAAAGTGCCGACTCTGTCCTTAGGTCCTTAG